ATGTATGATTATAAATATTAATAATTTTGTATATGAATAAAGTATTAGTGTTGCTGTTAAGCTAGACTTACTTTGTATAGTGACAAAGAAGCTTTATTAAATTTTTAGAAGGGTTTTCGAATAACAAAGAAAGAAATAAAGAACAAACACAAAAATTTATTTTTAATTTTATTGAAATTTGGCTGACCATACAACGCTGTTTCGAGTATTGCCAAGTACTCTTCATCAGTGGTCTTTGGGAATAATCGAATTTTATTTAATTAGTTTATAGTCCGTATATAATTTGTTTGGACTGCAAGTTATTCCCAAAGACCACTGATGAAGAGTACTTGGTAATACTCGAAACAGCGTTGTATGGTCAGCCAAACTTCAATAAAATTAAAAATAAATTTTTGTGTTTGTCCTTTATTTCTTTCTTTGTTATTCGAAAACCCTCTAAATTTTAATAAAGCTTCTTTGTCCCCATACAAAGAAAGCGTAGCTTTATAGTAACACTAATACTTTATTCAAATATTAGACTTGTGAAAAGTAAAGAACAATATGTTAAAATATAATATTGTTCAACTTTTCCTAACCGCGAAAGCGGATTTGTAGAATAACATAGCATAGCTTCTTTGTAAAAAGCACCAAAATGGTCGCTTTACATATAGTAAGTAAAACAATATGCATTACAAAATGTCTCTACAAAAAGAGTAGCTTTGAAAAGAAATAAAGAAATAGGCAAAACCCAAAAGTTAAACTTTCAATTCGCTGAACTTGTGTTTCTAAAAATAAAGCTGAAGTTTATAAGCTCGTTCTTATTTAAAAAGCACGGCAAGTGCGTTGGTTGTTGTCACTAATTAAATAAAAATAAGTGACAATAAAACCTGGAACTTGAGCATTGAAAGTTTGTGCAGCCTTGGCTTCTTGTGGATAAACACGATTAGTCATCGCTTCTAATTTGACAGGCACGAGTTCTAAGCCTGGCACTTGCAGTCCAAACAAATTGTATACGGACTATAAACTAATTAAATAAAATTCGATTATTCCCAAAGACCACTGATGAAGAGTACTTGGCAATACTCGAAACAGCGTTGTATGGTCAGCCAAATTTCAATAAAAATTAAAAAATAAATTTTTGTGTTTGTCCTTTATTTCTTTCTTTGTTATTCGAAAACCCTTCTAAAAATTATTATTTTTAAAAAAAATGTGTGAAGTATATTAATTCTTGAAGTGTTGAGGTTAATGTGGCGATCTTGATATACATCAATTTTATAAACAGTAGTAATAACACATCACAGCTGAAGTCAAATAAAAGTATTGAACCAATGGATAACACACTCAATACGTAATCTTACTGTTCTTCATTAAAAGATCAACTGACGAAAGTATATTCAAGAAAAATTTACCCGACTTAATAATCAAATACAGGCCAAATACAGGGCAATATCAGTTAATTGTTGAAAATAAAATATGAATACTAATTCATAAAATAAGACTACATGTGGACCCGTGAAATTCAGTTATAAAAGACATATAGTCATTTAAATATTGAAATTTTACAAAGATATAAATCTAAAACGTTTAGATATACTCAATAGACTGTGGTTTATAAAAAAATCTAAGTATACTATAAAGATATATAATATAGTATAAATTAAAGTGTATAGATGTACAGATGTATTATCAGTTATAAAGATAGTTGCAACTCATGGTAAGGATACTGTAAATGATCGCCGGACATGGAAGTGGTTTACTTGGTTCGGGAAATTTTAAGACTTTTTAGAAAAAGCAGGCTACGCAAAATTGCTCCATGTTTTAGTATTACATGAATTAATGCAAATTAATATAATTGAGCGGATTCTCGAAATATAAATTAAACACTAGCCCACACAAGTGATCACGACCAAAGGTCGGCGAACTTACGCAAACGACTTCAAAGTCTGGATTTGCAGCAAACAAGATTGCTGAAAGGAAACTATTTAATAAAAGTTGATTCAGCCTGTTGCAACAGTTAATTGCTCAAAACTCAGCTACTTCAACGAAACAATCAAGAAAAAACGACCAGAATCAGCCAACGGAAAACAAGTTATTTTCTATCATGACAATGTCAGGCCAAACATATCTTCGATGGTTGGGAAGTTTTAATGCATCTACCATTTAGGTCTTAAGCCTTTTGACTACCATTTTGACCTCTACAAAAGTCTCTTACTGAGTTTCCTTATTTCAGAGTAAATTGAATTAAATTAAGAGACATGTAGATTTTTATTTTCAATTTATCTAGTAGTCATCTATAAGTAAAATTTCGAAACTAATACCAAACATTTTGTGTTTGTTTGCTAATCATTCTAAAAGAGGTTGTGATTCGTTCAACATTTAAACCCAGTCTCTCTTTTTTAATAAAATATGATTTATCTTTTCCTAACTCTGGTGTCAAATGTAAAGGAATAGTCGAAATTGAATTAACATGATTTTTTAAAACATACCGCGGAATATTTGAATCTTCCCAACATATGTAAGTTTCGATTGAATCTAGTTTCAAAGCACGTAATGTATGTTCTAGCCCAATAAATCCTATAGCTTGAAATGTTTATCTGAACTTTAGCGGTTTCAATATAACTGGCTTTTTCTTATAACCGTTTTCACCGACAATTATTACTAGATTAACTTATTTTCAAAGCTGAATAATATTGAAGATAGAGCAATATCGACCAAAAAAAGTACAAAATTTAACGAAATTGTTTTCTTTTTGTATTAATTTAAAAAAAAAGTTAATAAAATCATGTTTAAAAGGTGACAGATTATTTATATAATTTATTATATCTGTTAATTTTATTTTTAACAGAATTTATAAAAAAAAGACTGGCAACATGTTGTTTGCTGCACGGCACTCAAGTATAACGCCAGACAACCTTCAACTATATTTTTAAATATTTTATATTTAAACACGCAACTTCACTTTAAAATATTTTAGTCCATAGCCGTGTTAGGAACCTTAACAAACATCATTATTCCATTTTAAAAATTGTTTTGATATTCTCTATAATTGTCATTATACTGGTTTTTTGGTATGATATATCTGAAATATTAAAATTCAATTAACTTTTATTTCAATCGTTTTATTTTTTAAATATGCTTTACTACTGATGTGACATAAGCTTAAATATTTAATTTATTATTATTATAATAATATCATATTATAATTAAAAATCAATTCTAAGTTTTATGAATACTAAACTCACCACGGATCCTTTTCATAGACGGTTGTATAGTTTTATTATGGCACCCAAATTTATACGCAGTACCTAATACGCATTTTGCGTTTTCGCAACGTTATTACCGTGGCAAGTGAAATGCATTATGCATAATGTGCTATGCAAACCTTACACACCCATAACCATATCCGCAAAAGCATTAAACGTTAAATTACAAATACCTAAGCGATACTTGTGGATGATATCAATAGAAAGCTTTATCCATAGTGAAACTTTGAGTGACATTTTAATGGGACATTTCTCATTGTTGTTATTCAATGTTGCATATCACACGACGCTGCATTCTATATGCAAAGTAGTTTTCACATCTTCCGTTATCTAATAGAACGTTAGAGCAATGGCTTTTATTGCTATCATATTATCTATATGAGATGCATGAATGCATTAAGAATAAAGCGAATCACAAAAATGTCACAATATCGTTTTATTAGAAAAATCTTATGCAAAGAAATTAAGTATTTAATTCAATATTCAGCATTTAGTTTAATATAAACATAATTTGATATAAATTCAGATTTTCGAAAGCTGTAGATATGTTTCAGAACATAATTGGTAATATTTTTGTTATTATATAAAAATGATTAATAAAGAGATTTTCGAAAAATAGTAAACTACAATAACAAAACTTCTTTTTTATGTTATTTTAATTAATTAAATTTTTGACCGACCATACAGGTGTTTCCAGTGTTACCAAATACCCATCATCAAAGGTCTTGAAAATAATTTATGTATTTAATTATTCGTAAATAATTTTTTTAGAGTGCAGGTACCAGAAATCGAACTTGTGCCCTGCCAATTTTATTAAAAGCTAAAAGCTACAATAAATTAAAAGCTACAAAATATTATAAAGTTTTAGCTGTGAAATAGTATATATAACTCACTTAAATAATAAATAAATAAGTGGTAAGTGTCACTTAAAAAATACAAAGTGCTTGGAACTTGAGCATTAAAAGTTTGTACAGCCTTAACTACTTGTGAAAAAACACATTAGTCATTGCTTCTAATTTGACATGTATGAGTTCTAAGCCTAGCACCTGCACTCCAAACAAATTATAAACGGACTATAAACTAATTAAAAAATTCGAATATTTCCTAAGACCAATGTAACAGCATTGTATGGTGAGCCAAGTTTCAATAAATCAACTAAAATTTTTGTTGTTGTCTTTTAATTTCTATTCGAACCCTTCTAAATTTTAAATAATTTTCATCAGAATACGCGTCCCTTTCATTAAAGAAAAATTAACATTAAAATATATAAATAATTTATTGTGTTTAAAACTCTATTAAGCTGCCCAAAAATGCATGTAGATATATACAATATTAAAATATGATATACATTTTAAAAACGTAAAATAAAATATTTATGAACACACATTTAAATATTAACAGTTTTCCGTACATCACAATTTTAACACTTCGAACAAAAAGCATTTTTTCTTCTACCAAAATGTTGCTCATACGTACCGCAGCACCCGAAGCATTTAAAATTTGACTCATTTGTGTGCATATAACAGCTTAATTAATATGTTAACAAGTGAAAGAGTTAATAACATATAATTCATTAAACTCACTTACACAAGAGAGTGTGCACAGTGCATATGAATACAAATCATACGTGTTCATACATTAAAATATATATATTTATAACAGCAGAAATTTCTTTGAATGACTCTTCTCGCTATCGAGCGGTAATGTAACATATTCTTTTAACATAAGAAAATATTTAATTTGCTATGTTAATATTTTTTACATTTAATTTATTTATACATTTTTTGCAGAGAAATAACATTTGCTCTTTTTTTTTGAATATATTACAGAAAATGCCACTCGGTTTTGTCATTTGAATGGAACCTGGGAAAAATATACAAATTACGATTCTTGTATGCATTTGCCTGCACCGTCACCTGTTCCTGAATTTGAGCCAATTGTCGAGCTGCCCACCATAATTTATTACATTGGATACACTATAAGTTTGGTTTCGTTGACATTGGCCATAATTGTCTTTGCGTATTTCAAGTGAGTTTTATGTTCTATTCTATATTTTAGTGTGCATTTACAAAAACGGAATGCATAAGTTTAAATGCAATATTTTATTTGATTTATGAATATTGCATCATTTAAGTTTTTGCTTATATTTTACATTTGCATATAAAAGGTACTCTTAAAAAATATATAAATCATTTCAATTTTGCTAAATAAGATTTTTATTTAAATTAGTTACTTCATAAATGTTAATGGGTTCACCAGATGTGGTACATTGCATTTCATTGCATCATAAACCAAATACAAATTCGTCCTGCATTTAAAGTTCAACAAAATGTGTGAAAAAACACCATTTTAATAAAGCAAATATTCTATAAAAATAAGAAATTATTACAAACGTGCCGAATTTTATTAAAAGCATAAAAAAATGATACAAAAATAAAGTAATGGAACTCATGCACACAAAATAACGTGCAGTGCAAGTTTAATATTAAAATTTGACATTTGCCATTTCGATTCTTTGCAAGTTTCGCCATTCTAAAGGATAATACAATTTTGGTATATATTCTTATAACTGTAACAATGCAGTCTTGTTTAGATTTCGTATAAAATTCTATCTTATCTAAGTTTTAATTTCGTTTTTCTGTGTCATTTGCAGACCATTGTAATAAAGTTATGAATCTATTAAGAAATATCTAACAGAACTACATTGTAGTAGTTAAAATTTCTACTACGAAAATGTTATAAAGTAAATTATTAAAGACTAGAGCAGCTTAAAGTAGTAATTACAACTTGATTGCTTAAACAAAAGTGAAACTAAACTCAAAATTTTAAAGGTCAAACTACACGGAGATTATACATGGCTCAAGTTTATAGTTTTCTTCAAACTAGATATCATTTTTATTTACTTTATAAAAAAAATCTATTTTCTACAACCTCTTATATGATCATATTGCTAGAATTTGATGTTTGATGCACTTAACATCATTCTGTATTTTAATTTATAGAGATTTTAAAGTTTTCTACATATGTAATATTTTCTTATCGGCCAAATGTGTTGTTTGTTTAGATTTATTTTAAAATTATTTATTTTAAAAATACTGCAAAGATTAATTTAGGATTTTATCCAACTTTTTTAAATATTCATTCAGTAAATATTATTATAACTAGCTGACTATGCATTGTTAAGAAGGTGCATCTGCAGTCAAGTAAGAACTAGTATTGCTTTATACGTACATAAGGTCTTATAAAACTGTTCTATTGGATAAATAAAAATTGTTCATAATTTAAAAATAAATTAAATATTAAGTATGATTTTAATGATATGATGGTAGTGACCATCTTACTTAATAGAAACTATTGTATTTATTAGAAAAATTTCGAACAGTAATAAAGAAACAACAGCAAATATATTTTTATTTATTTTTAATTACTTGAATTTTAGGCTAACCATACAGCTGTTTTCAGTATTGACAAATGCCCATCATCAGTGGTCTTCGAATTATTTTTTATACGAGTATTTGATTATTTGTAAATAATTTTTAAAGACTGCATGTACCAATGGTTAAACTCGTACCCTGCCGAATTCGAAGCTCAGAGTTAGTGTTCATTAATCAATTTACCCAACCTCTCTATAAATTAAATTAATAAGATTTCTATGCCCTTCAATTCGTTTCATTTATTGAAAGGTGAAATATTTACTTCGTCTTATTTTTAAAACAGAGTTATTTATTGAAAAAAAAATCTTTAAAAATAAATATCTATATACATTGTGACCGAAAAGTTTTGGGAAATTCTCATTTAAAATTCGCGCGCTGTATATTTTTCGATATTTTAAGTTTATGTAGTTTGGCAGCACTTTCCTTAATTACTATGCCAAAAATGAGCGCGATCTGTCAGACAGTTCGTTTACGGCAGCTGTTGAAACCAGTTCACCTCAGTAGTGCGTTGCGAAAAAAACAATGGAAAAAAATATTGAACAAAGAGTTTGCATCCAATTTTGTGTTTCGAACGAAATTTCGTGTGCAGAATCGTTGCGAATGCTACAAAAGGCTTATGGGGAATCAGTTTTATCGAAAACTCAAGTTTATGAGTTGTACAAAGCCTTTCAGGACGGTCGTACGACCGTCGAAGACATGCCGCGTTCTGGACGACCTTCGACCTCTACCACCGACGAAAACATTGAAAAGGCAAAGGAAATCGTGTTCCAAAATCCTCATGTGAGTGTTAGAGAGATAGCACGAGAGCTAGGCATCGGTCGTGAGATGGCTCGTTTGATTTTGGTGGACAATTTGTGTATGCGACGTGTCAACGCCCGGCTTGTTCCGATTCACCTCAATTTGTTCAACATTATCAACGATTTTAAGGCCAAACATTCAATAAATACCATCGAACAGCCACCGTATTCACCTGATCTTGCACCGTGTGACTTTTTCCTGTTTCCCAACCTCAAATTACCACTCAGAGGAACGCGTTTTGAATCCATAGAAGACGTAAAACAGAATTCGCAGAGGGAACTCAAAGCCATACCGGAAAGCGCCTATAAAAATGTTTTGATGATTGAGAACGTTGGCATTTGTGTTCGCTTTAATGGATATTTTTGAAGGAGATAAAATAAATATTGATGAAGATTAAGAATTTTGCGTTTTATTTAAAATTTCCGGAAACTTTTCGGTCACAATGTATTAATAAAAATAAAAAAATTATTTTATTATTTTAATTTGAAGAAAGTTTTATTTAAAAATAAATAACGCAATAAAAACACAAATCAGTACAATTTGTCATTGTTTGTTATGCAGTCTGCAAAATGAATTTATTACCTCTTTTAATAGTTTTTACATCTTCACCATTAGAAATAATCACAAATGTTATAGCAATTAAAAATTTTTTAATACAGCAATTAAAGGTGGTCACAATGACAATAAGAGATAAATAAACTATATCAAGGACTGTATAAAACCTATTATATTTCATTAATTACTTTAAGTATAGATCCCAAGCCCAAAAGTGGAGTATTTTTATTTATTTTTATTATAAAGCAATTCATTTTAAACATTTAAAGAATTAACTTCCTACTTAAAAGACGGAAATAACTAAATTACTTAAAGGATGTAAGTGGCTTACTTAAACCACTTTATGACAAATTGAGAGCCGTTGCTGGTTGATACATTAGCTGGAGTGTAGGATTTTGAAATAATCGTATATTGAACTCAAAAAAAAAGCGGTGAACAGCTAGCAGACATAGATGGAATCAGAAATATTTCTGGGTTAAGGCAAGTGCCCTTTGAAAAGATCAATGCATGAAAAATGAAAAGTGGGAACTAACAACAGTTGGCAGCCACAAATGATATCAACAACTTTAAGCGAAGTGACAGTTGAAGAGACCGCACACTGTATGAAAATTAAAAATTGGGGATTAACAGCATAGCACAGTTAAGATGATGGCAGGTAGTTAGCGGGTACAGATAAAATTAGCAATTCATCTTGGTTAAGATAACTGTCCCTTGAAAAGATCGTACACTGCATGAATATTTAAAAGTGGGAACAAACAGCATGACGCGGTTAAGAGAGATGCCGTTAAGTTAAATCATCGGATTCACTGAGTTTTCAGTTTGAATTCTTTAACAATAGTACTCTCATAACAATTGTGCATTTTGTGAAATTTTTTAAAATTTTATAATTATTAAATAATTACTTTTCACACACATACACATACATTTCACATTGCTTAAATATAACAATACTATTATAGCCATATGAAACTAATTTTTATTTTCATTTTTTTGTAAAGTTCAAATTAGTGCAACACAATAGTATTCAAGATTTTAATTAACATTACATCGCCTTTGTTTTAAAATAAAAGTGTTAAGGGAACCGCAACTTTACTTAATATCCTTTGCCATTTCACTACCTTATCAGTGCCTGTACAAGCGCTCAAGGATATGTTATATCAGCGCTTTTAACTATTCGCGTTCAGTTGGTTTATTGCACAAATAAGCATTTTATTTAGACATATACGAAATGTAATAACTTTGTTTGTGTGCTTGAATTAAAGGCAAATGTGTGTGTAATACTCATACTTTTTCCATTTCTATTTCTATTTTCATTGCAAATGATACATATGCGACTTTTCAACACTTCCTTCGACATGCCAACATTCTGTGCTAACCAAACTACACCAAACCAACGACAAATACAAAAACTACTTGGCGGGTACTGTCAACGCCTTCATTTTCGCGCCAACCAGGGAATTACGGTGCTTGCGGAACTCGATTCATGCGAATTTGTTTTTCACTTATATCATGTCGGCATTACTATGGATTCTCACATTATCCGTGCAGGTATGTTCATCCTTGTATAGAATAATTTGTATGACTGTGCGTGCAGAGGGAAAGGTTCTTATTTCCCTACAGTGTGCACATAGAATTTAAGTAAATTGTTAAAGCGATTTTATATTAATTCTATTTTTTCATACTATATTTGAAATGCTTTCTAAGTATTTTTAATTCAAAAAATTATCGTTTTTTTTTTGTTTGTCATTTAAGTATGATAAATATAGGGTTATTCATTTTATGGTTCCTAAAGTAAACGTAAATAAAACTCACTCCGATTGAGATTTTGAACAGTTTTTGTTTCAATATATTGTGTGGACAACGCTATTTGGTATGAAATTAAACGCATTTGATTTGTTCTCCGCAGCTCATCTTAAAGTTCTAGATCAGTTTGAGATAGTAATCAATGACTTGTCTGCTCAAAACTGACAGAGTCCGTAACTTTTTAACGTAATTACTTACTATTAACGCTCAACATCAAGTTACTCTTAAAAAACGTATCAGTATTATACCCCGAAAAACAAACTTACGTTTGGAAATAGTTTTCTCCGTGTTTGGGAGCGAGGCCTACTAACATCTTCGCTTTTCTTTATGTCACACTCAAAGAAGAAATTAGGAAATATAACTCTACATCAAATAAAAGTAAGTGCTTACAATTATTTTGCCCGCATAAATTTGGGTTTAACCACAACCACCCCGATACACCCATTAAAGGGTCAGGACAGCGTGAGGCTGTGAGACCTCATGTTACTCATGTTGCCAGATTTACACCTCTGGTCGGATGCCTCAAGTGAAACGCACTCATTCATACTCCAAATGATATCAGGTGATGCCTACTAGATTTTAGTTGCCTCTTAAAAAAAATGCCCTACCTAGAAAATCTTCTAACACCTCTTCCACAAGGATACTAATAACTAGCAATAGCTTCGTCATAATCTGACGGTTGTTTGGTTTAGACTTTGGTGATAATTTTGCCGTTAGTTGACGGTTGTCTGTTTTCATTACTATACGTACATTACGTTCACAATCACCTTTCATAAATAGTTTTTTGTGCGACTTTTCAAACAATAGTGTTTATGTAACCAGTCCTCAAAGTCTCCACACTGAAAACAAATCACCGTCAAAGTATAGCCAAACTATTATCAACTATTTTCACCTCCATAACCATCTTTCATAAGTAGTTTCGCGTTGCGCAAATAAAATGCGGTAAGTGTGATTTAATCTTTCGGAAGTGATAAAAATTTATCGCCATTTCATGAAAGGTAATTGTGAATGTAACGTGCGTAACAGTGGTGATTTTGTTGTCACCTCTCTCTAAATTAAACCTCCAGAAACTTGTACAATAAAAGTCAAAACAGTGCATAGCTTATTATTAGCTTATAATTTGTGCACCGCTCGATTGATATATATTCCACATATATTCTACAGTCATATATGTGATCTTCTGCCAAAAAAAATTGATAATCATGTGAGTGTAGCGATCAATTTGTGTCATTGCCTTCGTCATTTTTAAAAAGGTACGAGCTGACCACACTTACTTACTAGTATTTACTTGTTTAGCCATAACACCCCGTTTCCGAGTTTCGGTCTGACACAGCATGTCTCTCAAAGCGCCTCTGGTGTGAGCACGATTTTTCTAGTCTCGTACATCAAGTCCGATTAGTGCTCCCGTAACTTAATCACTCCATCGGAGACGGTTTCTTCTTTATCTATTCTCACGACATGACTAAGCCAGCGGTACCGCTGGATATAAATTCGCTGAATTATATCAATGCCGTGATAAATCTCGTACAGCTCGAGCTGACTACACTGCTTGATCAAATACCGCAGTATACAGGGTTTTTTTTCTATGGAGGTAATGTTCTTTCAAAATTACTACCGGATTCTTTTTGCTCTAAGTGGGAAATTTTTATTTGTTGACAGGTCCATTTAACTATAAATGAGCTTCAACAGAAATTTGAAATGCGGAAACTTGTCCCCATAATTGCAATATGGGGACAATTGCAATTTTAATATATTTAGCGTATATTAAAGGATTAATTTTGTAAAATGGCAAGCCTAGATCTCAATAAATGTTATGGATTGGATGATAGTTTTGTTTTATATATTACTGAAGCAGTGCTGCCAAACCAAGACTATGAAATGAATAATCATGTAATTAACTATTACGTTTGCAACAGAGTTAAGTTACTTAAATTCGATTTATTTAAGAAAGATAAAATCAAAAATATATTTTTTTTGTTGATTAACTTTTTTACTTCATTTATTTTGCAATAAGCTAAATATCGCCAATTATATAAATTTCCTATCTTTTTGTATATCTAATAAATATCCTTGCATTCGATAATTTGTTTATTGGCTTATCAATACAAAAGCAAATAAAAATAAATAAATAAATACGAAAATATTTATGGCGTTTAGATTTCAATACGCACTGGACTTGGTGGCTGCATTGTTCTGGTGACCCTATTCCATTTCTTCACATTAACGAATTTCTTCTGGATGCTTGTCGAGGGTGAGTATACTGCTATTTTCGTCCTTAATTCTACTGCTATTTTCCTATTTATGTGCACAATTTCACTGTAGCGTATACTTGACATACACTTGTATCTAGCAACAATGTATGGGAACACATAAATTTGTATGCTCTTATTTTGGTTTAGTTGTATTTAGATTTATTTTTTCCTTTTTGCTTTTGCGATTCTTTTTTTTAGTAATTTCCTTTAATGAAATTCAAGCGTAAAATGTAACCAAGAGATTTGTATAACTTAGCCGACAACAAATACTACAATTTTTCCCCAAAAAAAGTACACAGAATGCTTAAATTTGATTTGATTTTTTATGATTTTGTTTATTGTAGTAAAGAATTATTCCATTTGGTCACTGATATGCCGTTTTCTTCTTTCCCTATTTGAACATTATCTTTACAGGTCTCTACTTATACACTTTAGTCGTGAAGACTTTCTCTAATAATAATATACGCTTCAATATTTATGCCATCATTGGCTGGGGTAAGTTAAGATTATTTACTTAAAGTGTCTCTACTTATTTTTAGTTATTATCGTAGCAAAATGGTTGTGCTTGTTTAATTTACATTTATATTACTTGGAAAACTATAAATCAGTGTTTTACGGGATGAAAAACAAACACTTAGTGTTGAAATTAGGTAACCTCAAAAGATAGTTACAAAGGAGTAAGATGAATTATATGACACTAATCGCCCAACCATGACACATTGTCTCGTATAAAATTATGACTCGAAATATGATACTATTGTGAATGTTGCTTGGAAATTAATGCACAGTTTGACTCATTAGAGCTAATTTTTCTTTTGACAAACTCTAATAATAAAGATAAAATCGGTAGTTATGTTTACAAATGACTTTTTGCTATTTCGCAAGTCCATTATCAACAAATCATAAATAAAAACAGAATTTTAGTATTTAATACTATTTGAATACAAAAGGCGAATACAAACGAGAAAAGTATTATTCATTAAAGAAGTATTATTCATTAAAGAAGGGACAAATAGGAAGAATGTTATAACAGATATTGGCAATTCTGATATTTAAAAAAAAGGACTTCAAATACAACCAAAGAATCTTCAAAAGGATGAACAAACTACAAAATACACTTATTAAAATACACTTGTTGCAAAATACCTAATTATTTACTACCTTAATTGACACATTAACAGTATTCACACCCTTAAGTAACGAGCTCTGTAACCCTATAACTTAGTAACAATACAAAGCAACAAGAACAAAACACAATTCTGGTAATTGTATTAACTGCTTGCATGCATAAAGTGAAAGGATAATTGATATGACTTCAATTTAGTAGAACATTTCAAAAACAGTATGATACTTTCAATAGTCGTATTTACAAATTAATATAATAATAAAGCCGGTTAAGCAGCAGCAACAAACTACAAATGTTCCCATTTATATAATGGAAAACACATTTTTACTATATTGCAATGCAATATAAACTGTCCTGCTCAAGTTTGAGAATACCAGTACAGTAGACGCTCAGAAATTAAAACTGATTTGTTTTTCGGTTTGTTTTAATTTCCGTAATGTTCTAATTTCTTTTGTGTTTTTTTTTAATAAAATGTGAGAAAAACAGTAAAATTAATTTAATATACATTTTTTTATGTTTAATACAATATACAAACAATAAATTTTTGTTTCGCATATAGTAATCCGTGATATCTATTTTGTTTTCGTGTTAATTTTCAAAGTAACAATATCTTTACATAGGTCCGAAGCTTTCGGGTTGCGACTACTGAAAACAATTTATTTGTTTTGCATCATTTTATGAAGTTAAATTGTCAATAGTAACAAAATAACGAGTATGATGACTCCTCATTTTCAATTTCATTTTATTTAGCTTATAATCAATTTTCAAAACATTCAATCTATGATAAAATATGGTTCTAACATTCAGACGATCGAGTTTCTGAGAATTTCAGTCGAGTTTCCAATTCCAGTGAACAATGACGATATTGAAAGCACTGCTAAAAACATCCTATTAAATTGAAATTATTACAATTAAGTAATTAATTATTCAGTCTTCTAACGCGATTTTAGTGTCATATATAGATTGCATTAAAATATTATTAGACAAAGTTTTCATAAATTGTTTCAAAATTTTGCAAAAATCCAATATTTTCGATTACATTAAGATAATACTATTTGAACTTTTCATTACAGTACAATTAAAATACATTCATAGAATAGCACTTCATTATTATTATTATTAGATGTGGCACATTATAAACCATTACTGAATTAGATAGATTACTAACTATATAAACTCGTTACTGTGATAACTTCGATAAAGGGATGTATCTTAATATTTTATAACCATACTTATTAAAACGTATTCCTCAAAAACAATTTTAATTAGGAAATTTCCATCTATATATATATATTCCAATTCAATGGAAGTGCAATTGAACAGCACTTTTGTGTTATTAAGAATCTCTGAAAAAAACTTTATAATAACAATTATATACAATTATATTATATACATTAAAACGACATATTAAAATTCATATGAAGTACGAAATAAATTCTGAATTCCGCTCATATATGAATTTACAGAGTATTTTCTTTTAAAATTCATTAAATGTCAAAATTAATTCTTTGAACCAAGAAATATTTATTGAATTACAGTTAATTATCTTCAATCTTGAAATTATTTATTAAAATATTCAGAAAACCAAAGATAATTCTTTATCATTGCTTCTTGAGTTTATTTTTAACAAATTTAACGTTTTAGTAACATGATAGAGACTCACTTTTTACAGTGGCCCTCTTATAACAAAACTAGATCTTGGGAACTCATTAAAAGCAAGTCTTTAGTGTATAAGAACCCACATAGAGAACCTGGGAATTCCTTTTAATACTCATTACAGCACTTGTGAAAATTCGCAAGAAACTATTAAACATTTTCTAAAGGCCCGGCTCTGGCCTTTAGAAAAAATAGATTTTTAGAGTACTTTTTTGGCTTATTAAATTTTTTTAATTCGACGGGTTGTACTATTCTGTTTTTTATGAAAAAGGTTTCTTGAAAGGAATGTGTTAGCAAACTACCGAAAAACCTCTAATTGAATTGAAACAAAACAACATTATTTTACAGTTTTAGTTAGTTTGACATGTCTGTTTATTGGTGGTTCTAGTTTTATACGTTAACACAGAGAGCAAACAGTCTTAAGTGGATACTTACATTTACGATTACAAACTATATAATCTATCCTTGTTGTATTCATTAAATTCATAATTTGTAATGTTTTGCTTGTTTTAAACAACAGAAACCTATGTAAAATATAACAAATGAAAGAAACAATTTTGTGAAACATTTAGTTATAAAGTAACAAAAAAAAACATTTTCAGCAAGACTGTCTTATAATAGAATATTTCCATTTGTAAACATAGTTAGTATGCTTGTTCTTTACATTGTCAAAGCATCCACACTACTAACGAGACTGACCTGTGCTAACAAAACGCATCCTTATTTAACATCAAAGTATTTGTGAACTTAACAAAGGTAGAAATTGCAAAAGTATATACACAGGGACAACAACAATTAAATAACAAATAATGTATAACGACAATAACTGAGATACGAATAACAAGCACAATTCTTGCTACAATAATAACAACAACAATTACTTAATGCAAGACCTAAGTATACAATTAACGCTTGTTCCATTATTGCCCACAAACAACAGGCGGGCCAGCAATTTTCGTTGTCGTTTGGACAATTGCCAAGGGTCTGACAATGACATACCCCACTAAGCAGGTACGTATCTACTTACAATTGTTTATATATAATGTATTTTGTTTTATTTTATTTTCTCCTACTTGATTATCTCATACAGCAGAGCTTTACAGCAGAACAGGTGTGCTTGCATCTGTCTATCTGATGAGCTTATGTATGAGACTATCGGTGTATACGAGTATGCACAGTGGGCAGCAGTTACGACAAATCCTGCAGTAATACAACAATACCAAACAGCTGACATATGCTTTGAAGCATAAAAAGTTGTTATTGTGCAGGATTTTCGTTTATTAAAATTATTTTTATTTTTATGTTATTTAGTTTTTTATTTCTTTTTTTTTTTTAAATTTTTAACATTTCTACAAATGCTACCCACTGCGCATTTTGTAATGTCAAGGCAAATATTGCATTGTTTAACTTTTGCAAGGAATGAAGTATAAAAAATTTTCATCAGATCAAAATCACAAATGTTTACAAATTCATTTCATTCCATAGCTTCACTTCCTATCTCATGTTTCCGCATATTTAATATATATTTCTTACTCTTCATCCGTTTGCTTACTTCGTTTTTTTTTGTAATATGGCAACCATGGGGTACTTATGTGATTCTTCATGTCAACTAAATGGCAACAGTTTGACATTGGCTGTCCATGGATGCACGAAACACCTGTCGACTGGATATTTCAGGGTCCAGTTTGCGCTGTGCTGATTATAAATTTAATATTTTTGTTAAGGATAATGTGGGTAAGTGTAATTATATTTGTCAAAATATATTTTAAAATATTTTTGTATTTACAAGAGCAGTTATTAGTGTTTTGGGAATGATAAAATTTATTAATTATGTGCAATTTGTAAATTTAATTTTTGATGTTTTTATATGGATGTACTCAAAAGACTTTGTGTTTAGCAAAATTATAATTAAATGAAAGAAAATTAAAATATAGTGTATTATATACTCTGACTAAATCACAACAAATTTATGTGAAATATTAATAAAGTTATTTGTTAAATAACTTTATTAAGATTACTTGAACTTTATCTACATATTATTATAATACTATATAGACTAATTTGGTTGTCTAAATTTCCTTAATTTCGTAAAAATAAAATTAAGTTAATTTCGAAAGTGTTCATACTGCCCCAAATTAAGGAAATCGTATGTTTTTTGTTTACAAATCGAATGTTAAAAATTACATGCTCCAAACACCATTTGTATCTGGAAAATTTTAAAAGTTAATTATTATAACTATAAAGGACGGCATTCAGCAGGCCATTTTCCTTAAATTCGTTCTAACCTCAAAACTGAAATTTGTATGGAAAAAATAACTTAATTTCGCTGAAACGAAGATGAAATTAAGATTTTTGCGAAATTAAGGTATGTCTGAACATAGTATAAAATATTAAAAGGAGATTTATAACTTATAGTCGAAATTCCAAAAGTTAAGATACATGAAGTAATACATAATGTATAGAATGTATCTAATAATATTTAGTAAATTATAAATTTCACAATTATATTTTTTTATAAGTTATTTTCAGCTTCTAAATTTATCAAATCTCAAATATATATACATCTATATATACATTAAGACTGAAAAGTTTTCGGAAATTCTCATTTAAAATTCGCGCGCTGTATATTTTTCGATATTTTAAGTTTATGTAGTTTGGCAGCACTGTCCTTAATTACTATGCCAAAAATGAGCGCGATCTGTCAGACAGTTCGTTTACGGCAGCTGTTGAAACCAGTTCCCCTCAGTAGTGCGTTGCGAAATGTCTTCGACGGTCGTACGACCGTCCTGAAAGGCTTTGTACCACTCATAAACTTGAGTTTTCGATAAAACTGATTCCCCATAAGCCTTTTGTAGCATTCGCAACGATTCTGCACACGAAATTTCGTTCGAAACACAAAATTTGATGCAAACTCTTTGTCCAATATTTTTTTCCATTGTTTTTTTCGCAACGCACTACTGAGGTGAACTGGTTTCAACAGCTGCCGTAAACGAACTGTCTGACAGATCGCGCTCATTTTTGGCATAGTAATTGTCCTTAATTGCTGCCAAACTACATAAACTTAAAATATCGAAAAATATACAGCGCGCGAATTTTAAATGAGAATTTCCGAAAACTTTTCGGTCTTAATGTAGTTATATATAAAGCATATAGTTTATTACTGTCGAAATAAATTGATTTACAACTAAGTATGATAGAAAAACAAATCTTAACAAAAGTGTGTCGCTACTGGCGCAACAATCCAGGTACAACCAGTTAGAAAAGATGGTACACTCTTACAAAATATGACAGGTCATATAATCTGCTTCATCACCTCAACAAAGTACGTCTGATTGAGAAGACAAAATTACTACTGTGCTTGAAAACAAATGATTCCCTATAGACTATAGGTTATAGTCACATTTTATGTCGCTTTATAGTTTTGATATGGTCATGAAGAGAATTTTAAGACTGGGGCTTTTAACCTTCTCTGATATTAAAAAATACCTAACGGAAGATGTGTTGAGTATGATGTGATAGGAAGTATTTTAAGACTGGAACTTTTATTTCCATGTGATATTAAAAAATACCCAAACGGAAGATGTTTTGCTCTTTTTCGAAGGGCTGAATATTTTTTATTCGATGGGGATCGGTTGTTAGTAAAAGATTAGTTATGACATGAGTGTTACGTTGGGAGTCAATTACCACGTTAATTTTTATATTTTACTGCTACTAATTTTAAAATTCATAGGTATTACTATATTACTAGAAAATTTCACCTTCTTTGCAAGTTTAGTAAATTATTCAAAGTTTGACTTTTAATAAACTCTATAGAAAAAAAAAACACATTTACAAACAAAGTATCTAAGTTGTTTTAATTAGCAAAATTTTATGTGAAAATGTGTGCGTGAAATTCAGAAAATCCTTAAAATAAGAAAAAACTGAATCTGGCGCCATTGGAATTTGCATATGGCGCAAATTGTTTCGTTTGTTTTCTTATTGTTATTGTTGTTTTTATGATTTTATGGCATTAATTAGTGTTTCAGCTGAATGCTCTCATAGGAGCAAGTCAGAGCACGTTATAAAAACAAAAGAACTTATTAAGATACTTATAACTGCACTTCTTTAATTAAAAGAAAATTAAAACAACAAGATGTTAACAAAAGGATCGCTTAATAATATTATGTACAAATTAACAAATAACTGCTGAGACCAGGTTTTGATTTGTTGGAAACTTTTACAAAAGTTTTTAAATTTGCTAAAGAGTTCATTTATTAAAGGTAAAATAAAACAAAAAAGTTAATTATAAAAATATTCCCTTTTTGTCGGAAATGAATACAAAATATAAGATAACAAGAGAAGATAAAAATGTGAAAAATTTGACTAAAAAGTTTAGGGATATTAAAAGTAAGTTTGGATATCTAAACTTTTTAAAATATATAATACAAATAAATTTTTATGAAATTTACTTAATATGAATTAAACAATTTTTATAAAAACTTTTTAAAGCTTATTTAATTTAACTTTAAGAGAAGTGCTTTAAAATGCAAACTAAATTACTAAAAAAACGCCTTAAAAAAATATGCTAAAATGAAGAAAATAATTCTTAATCAGTAACACAAATACAGAGTTTCAGATAAATTACAACTAATAAATAGGGCACTCAATGTACATCAAAATAAATTTGTTTAGAGCAAAATCAAAGTACAAAGTTTAATCTCCTTTAAGAATATTTAGTGTCAAATTCTGTTTTACATATTTCAAGTCAGAATTTTACTTGCTTTCCTTCCATTCCTGGTATGCCAAAATGTTTGTACTTGAATTTGCATATGTCACAGTCTCAATCTGTTTACCAAGCGCCGCTGTCAAATATCAAATTTATCAAAATGCTTAACATATGCTTTAAGCAAAACTGAAGTAAAGAATTTGCATACCAAATACGTTTATTCCTAAAATTATCCTCAAACTTTTCTTATCGAAATCCTTTGCAATAAAACTCAAAGCAATAAACCAGTGAGACAGTTTTAGCGAAACACAGGAGTTTGTAAATAAACGACTGAGCTTACTACATTGTGTATGAAACTAGCAATTTGGAAAGGGTTCCGAAAATAAATAATAAAAAGAGTTAGTGTGAGAATGGAATATCAGAGGCGTGTAACTTATGGTATATAAGGCCTATCATCAAAACTGCAGAATACTTGACGTTTTTTTGAACAGCCTTCAACGAGAGACTCTTTATGCGATTTTACGTAAAATTTTTCAACCCCCTATAATTTACTAAAATATTTTGATTAAACCTACAATTTTTTCGGAAACTAATACGATAGACAGTAATTGTAAATAGAGGGATTTTTGAATAGTAGTGAATCACAACAACAAAATTTTATTTTTTTAATTAAATAATTTTTGGTTAACTATACAACTGTTTCGAGTATTGCCAGAGACTATCATCAGTAGTCTTTTCGGAAATATTTCTTATATTTAATTAATCGTAAATAATTTTTAAAGACTGCAACTAGTTTCTTTCATCATAATTATCGTTAAATCAAATTTACTAATTGCAAATGTTGAGGTTATTGCAATTAAGATTATTGAAAAATGTGAAGTAAATGAATGTAGGGACTGCCTTAAATACACAAGAACTTCTTATTGTTATTGGCATTATTTGCTTTTGTATCATTTGAATACTATATACATTTTACCATACACAGTAAAGCTAAACGTTCAGATATTAAAAAATAACTAATTACAAAGTGTATTTACTTACAAATATATTTATGTTTCGATAAGAGAGACAGTTAAGAAAAAATTTTTTAGAGTAAAATATAATTGAATTTATTATTTAATTCTTTTATTGTGAAACCAAAACTAATGTTTTGTGTTTCCAAGTTAAGTTCTAGTTTATAAGCTGGTTCTAATTTAAAAGCAGGGCTAGTACTTTGGTTAGTGCCAGTTAAAAAAAAAGTGACAAAAAACTTGGAACTTCAGCATTAAAAGTTTGTGCAGCCTTGACTACTTGTGAAAAAATACGATTAGTTATAATTTTTAATTTGACAGGTACGTGTTCTAAGCCTATCACTTACACTTATCACTTATCCAAAAAATTATATACGGGCTATAAACTAATTAAATAAAATTCGATTATTTCCTAAGACCACTGATGAAGAGTACTTGGCAATACTTGAAACAGCGTTGTATGATCAGCTAAATTTCAATAAATTAATCAAATTTTTGTTGTTGTTTCTTCATTACTGTTTACATTACATCTTAAAAAACCTATAAATCAAGCCAGATGTCGGTGAATTAATTTTAAAGTGCTAGTGTAAAAATAAAAAATATTAAGGATAAAATTCATGCATGTTTAAGTTTAGCCACCTATTAAACCGATTTAAAAAAGGTTAAACAGTTCAATCCTAAAAATAAGTTAAACTTTATTAGTTGAAGACGTATGCTATAAAATCCCGTCTTAATCGGGGAAATTAGTCTAGTGTATCCAGACGCAAATGCATTAAATGAGTAATTACTGTCATAATATACTACCGAAATATTTTTAAAACATTTTTATAGTAGAGACATAAAGTGAGATTTTAATTACTACAAATACAGGAAATACTTTTCATTTATGACTACTTCACTGTCAAAAATGAAAACTTTTTGACAACAACTTAAAATTTACGACAAAAATTTTGTTACTCATACGGTAAGCACTGTCCCTAAAACGGTTAATTTAAGCATTCGCGTAGGAGTTGTTTTGT